GCTTTTGGAGGGAGGGTCCCTGGAGGGAAACCCCTGTCCCATCGGGCCCCTGGGGGCCACCGTCCTGGAGGTAGTTGTGCTTGGTTTCAGGGTCGGAAGAACCGCCCGCGCTGGAAAAACTGGACAGGCCTTCACGCTGCTCCTCCAAGTGCAGGTCCGTCTGCTGGAGCCTAACCCAGGGGCCGGGGGCCTCTGCTGGCAGCACTGCTCACAGAAAACAGGGTCCCTTCCCACTTGTTTCCCTGCAGGAGAGGAGGTTCCTCCGCATGCTAGCTGAAGCTGGGGTGCCAGAGATGGCACGGCACAACATCCCCAGCGAGCTCCTGCAGCCGCTGGTCCCACGGTACGAGGCGGCCTTGTCCCAGCTGGAGCGAGCTGTCACGGTGAGGGGCCGAGGCGTTCTGGTGATCCATGTCTGGTGTCTGGGAAGAGTGGACAACGTGTGCAGCAAGGGGAGAGGGTGGGAGGGCGGGAAGGGGGTGCATGGCCCTGGGAGGGGGCGAGGGCCAGATCTGCACTTTCTGAGCGAGTGCTGGGTGCTGCTGCTTGCGGGGAGGCGGCAGATAGCGCCACGTGAGCCTCTGGCCTCCCCTCTGCAGGAAGAGCGAAGGCAGAAGGCGCCCTGACAGGCTTGGGGGACAGGCAGGCTGAGCCCACCGCAGAGCAGACCCTTCCCAGCCCATGCCTCCTGCTGGGCAGAGACACCTCATTTCCAGAAAAGTCCTGAGCAGTGGCTGATGGATATGTGAGCGAAAGACTGTTTCCTTGGATTTCGGAAGGAACAGCCAGCGGAAAGGGCCTCCTCCTGCCAGGCCCTGGACGTGGTCGCTGCAGCAGGCCTGGTGCTGGGCAAGCTCGGGCCTGGGAGAAACCGCTGAGGTTACGGCAAACCTGATGGGGCAGCATCTGGGGTGTAGCCTTGGGCCCGTTAATAGGACCCTGGGTGTCCTCAGGACGTCTGCCACCCGCCATCCTGCACATCGTGAGCCATTCCCGGCACTGTCACAGTGCGAAGTGTCTCCACCCACGCGGTGTGGGCACAGCCCCGACCACGCAGCGGGGGGGTCTCCACACGGGGACGAGGCCAACCTCACTGCCCGCCGGGACGTGCGTCGTGAGTGTAACGGAAAACAGGCTTCAGGAGCGCTGACCCGCTGTTTGTGTAAAGATTTTGTTTTCAGAATCATGTGCTGATATTAAACTAAAAAACCAGGATCAGGCAGGCTGTGGTTTTTCTGTCCCTCCTGAAAGTGTGCTCTTCGCTGCGGCAGGGTAACACTGGGGAACCCGGCCCCGTGGTTGCTCATGGGGCCGCGGGAGGGTACAGGAAACATCGCACTAAACGGGTACAAGCTTCTTAGGGACGGAAACCAACCTCCACGCAAAACCAGCTTACTTCTCCATACACGGGGGCCACGCACGGCCCACCTGGCTGGAGCCAGGAACACAGAGCTGGAGAAGCCCCAGGACAGGCAGGGACAGGGCGGGGTGGCCCACGAGCTGCAAAGACCCGCTTCCCACCCCCCTCGCTGGGGTCTGGCTGGGCTCGACGCCTTTGGGGGCACCTCCACCACGGAGACACCAAACTGCCTGTGCCGGGGACCGTCCCCCAACTCCTGGGAAACAGGCCAGGCCGACCTGGGGGGGCCTGTCTCCCACCGGCACTATCTCCCTCTCTTTACGCAGCGAGGTGTGTGCTTCCTACTAGTTTCTTGTGTTACTTGTTGCGTTGGCTCACGTGTAATGACTGGAGTCGGTGTTCGTCACAGGGAGACATGGATACGGCACACGCTCAGAAACAGGGACACCAGACGTGGGTGTGCGTGCACGGGCAGCTCGTACGCCTGCTCCCACGTCCGGACTGCGACAGGTTTCCAGTCGGACGGCTGATCACTACCCCGTGTTGTTTCGTTGTTTTATTTATTTGGCCTCCTGAGTCTGTTGTGTTTATTGCAATTGTACCTACATCTTCTCTTGGTCTGCGGGGAAATAACGATCCTGCTCACCGTGAATCCTTCGTATACTTGATCATCATTAACATACTTCTTTCTTTTCTCCTTTGTTCTATATTTTACCATTTAAGGAATTTTTTAAATGTCTATATAAAATTCAATAAACATACAGTGTATTATTAGTTTTCAGATGTAGAGGTCAGCGATTCATCAGTTGCATAGAACACCCAGTGCTCATTCCGTCACGCGCCCTCCTTCGTGCCCGTCCCCCAGTGACCCCAGCCCCCCGCCCACCTCCCCTCCAGCAACCCTCAGTGTTTCCTAGAGTTAAGAGTCACTTTCTGCATTTTTTTTCTTGTTCAAGGTCTTTTGCCTCTCCAGGTTACATTTTCTTATATTTTTGTCCAATTTTTTTAATAGTTTTGTTTTATATTTAGGTCTTAAATCTGTCTTAAATTACTTCTGGAAATGATGTGAGGTTGAAGATTAATTTAATTTTATTTCCCCACAATAATAGACAACTATCTCCACACCATTTATTGCCATCAATCCCCTGTGGATTCGAAATACCTCCTTTCTTGTCTATTAACCTCACATATGCTAATGTCTCTGTTTCTGGATTTTTCTTTATATTCTATTGATCTGTCTGCTCTACTGATGTCCACTCTTGTTTTATACACAACGCCTTTGTTTTGTATATAACGCTAGGAGAGAATCACCACTTTCTCCTTCTCGTCTTCCTTTCTTGTTTTTACTACTCTTGCACTTTTTCCTCAAGATGAATTTTATTTTATTTATTTTTTTTAAAGATTTTATTTATTTGACAGAGAGAGAGAGAGAGAGGGAACACAAGCAGGGGGAGTGGGAGAGGGAGAAGCAGGCTTCCCGCCGAGCAGGGAGCCCGATGCGGGGCTCGATCCCAGGACCCTGAGATCATGACCTGAGCCGAAGGCAGATGCTTAACGACTGAGCCACCCAGGCGCCCCGAGATGAATTTTAGAATACATTTGTCAACATCCCCGAAACTTTGCCTTGAGGTTTTGATTGGTGTTGTACTGGCGATGCACATTAAAAACGGGAAGGATGGTCAGCGGTAAAATTTTGAATCTTTCTGTTTAGAAACACAGCAAGTGTCAGCTTCCTTTTGTCAGGGCTGTTTTATAGGCACCTTCGTAAAATCTCACATGTTCACTGGGCTTACTCACGTACGGTAAAGGTCTTGCTGCTATTTTAAAGGGAAACTTACTTTTTCTGTTGAGTCTTCTAGTTACTGCTGATCATGAAGACAGCTTTTATTTTTGTATTTTGAATTTTCCTTTAAGTCCTAAGGATTTCTGATGTTGATTAATTGGGTTTTCTGTGTACATAATCATACATTCTGTAAATATGGATGATCATATCTCTTTCTTTCAATATTTACACATTTTTTCCTGTCTCGTGTTATCCACAATCTCCATCCAACATTGTTCATGAGAGTGATATCAGGCATCTTTACTAGGTTCTTGACTTCAGTTGGACAGCTTCTTTTTTTATTTTTTGTTTTTTTAAAGATTTTATTTATTTATTTGACAGAGAGAGAGACAGCGAGAGCAGGAACACAAGCAGGGGGAGTGGGAGAGGGAGAAGCAGGCTTCCCGCGGAGCAGGGAGCCTGATGTGGGGCTCGACCCCAGGACCCTGGGACCATGACCTGAGCCGAAGGCAGACGCTTAAAAAGTATTTTATCTATCTATCATCTATCTATATCTATATCTATCTATATCTATATCTATCTATATCTATATCATCTATATCTATATCTATATCTATATCTATCTATATTTATATCTATATCTATATCTATCTATATCTATCTATATCTATATCTATATATCTATCTATATCTATATCTATATCTATATCTATATCTATATCTATATCTATATCTATATCTATATCTGTATCTATCTATCTATTTCAGAGAGAGAGAGAGGCAGAGAGCGCGAGGGGAGAGGGGCAGAGGGGGAGGAAGGGAGGAAAGGAAGAGAATCTCGAGTGTGCTGAACCCGGAGCCCGATGCAGGGCTCAATCTTATGACCCTGAGATCATGACCTGAGCCGAAACCAAGAGCTGGACTCTTAACCAACTGAGTCACCCAGGTGCCCCCACTGGGACACTTCTGATCCTTCTCATGAATATGACAAAAAATGAGTTTCTACAAGTTGTCTGAATGTTGCAAATTTATAAGACCCTGGTTAGTATTGCTGGTCAGTGTCTCTAAAGGTTTTAAAAATGATATATCTAATTCCTGAACAGATTAAAAGGATGTTGGAATAAAGTCAGCCCGAGCTGCTGCCCAAGCATCCCACCTACGTTCCTAACTCTGGGCAAGTAAAGAAGGTAAAGAACAGTTTATCTCTGGGGGAAATTAAGTGAACAGAAGCCCTGGATTACCTTTGAGCCTCTACAGCGCCCAACTCTCAGGCCAGAGCCACGGGTGACATCCTCTCTAACTCTCGTTTCAACTCCGAAAGCCAAGTGTTATGATGTCACTGAACAGAGGAGGTCCCTGAGTCTCAAGAGGTGTGAGACGGTTTGGCCAAGACTCACGGCCAATGAGATTTGGAGACGGGGCATACACCTGTCTGGACCATGGTTCTTGCCGGCACAGTGTGGAAGGAAGTGAGCAGTGTGAGCCACGGGTGGCATTTACGGACAGTCACTAGGCATTATGAATAAAATTAAGTAATTAACCCTAAACAGAATTCACTCAGGTGGCTCATGCTTTCACATACCTAATCCTGTACAAGACTGACTGAGGCCCCTGTGTGGCCAAGAGGAACAGTAGGTCTTCTAGAGGTAACGGGCTTGGCGCTCCTTTGCCGTCCCCC